GAAAAGTAATCCTTCGCTTTTGTTGGCATTGACGGTCCTTTTCCCTTGCTTGATCGTGATGCGAGATCTACTATTTTCAGGTTCTTTATCAAATCAATTAACAACGGTAGTTGTTCTTGGAGGAGGTGGATCAACTGGAAAATCGCCTTCTGTGGATTGGGTGGGAGCCACGGGAGGATCTACAATTTCGTGAGGCTGCTGAAATAAAGCTTTGACTTTGTCACCAAAAGCATCATACAGGATATTCTTCAGTCCATAGTAAAAAGCTGTTAAAAACCAAGATTTCTCTACAGATCCGTAATCTGTTTCATCTTCAGTTCATGTCTTTCTCGTAGCTCAATGATATACGACTCGTGTTGATGCAGCAAAATGTTCTTTTCTATAATTTCTTGTCTAAGAATACCGATTTCTTCACGAAGTTTTGATACTGAAGTCATATCATCACCTGAATATTTTTCCTCGAAAGATATACCTTTTCCCTGGGAGGAAGAAATTGGACTGTTCTGATTTAGGTGCTTAGACAATCTGATAGAGGTTTCATCCAGTGAGGGCCTTGAAGGAGAATACTCTGGAATAGAGGATGAACCACCTGCTTCATACATTGTGCTCGGGCCTTCTTCTGACGGTATTGGTGGAGTAGAGACTATAGTGGTGGTAACAGTAGATGAGACTGGTGGTGCTTGGCTTACAGTGGACACTCCCTGCCTTGGATCCAATCGTCTTCTTTTCAAAGGAGATAGGGAGGTATGGGGCTGTGTCGATTCACTTAAAAGTGGAGCAGAAGTAGAGACATTTGATTCAGAGGGAGGAATCTCTGAAACCACATCTCTTGGACCTGAAGAGACCTCCATAGGTTTTGAAGAGGAAATCAAAATTTTGAGAGCACTAACATCTTCCCCAGTCTCGGTTGCTGGTTGAGCAACTTCATTAACCTTTTAAAGCACCTTCTGTCGAATCCCGGAAGTGGACCAAACTCATCATCATCGAGATTAAGTTCAGTACTCGAGGGGATATCATCGTTGATCCCAGTAAAATCTAGCTCTTTCAGAAAATCATCATCGTCACTGAAGTCCTCATCTCCTCTTTCTCGATCAATTTTTTTTTCAACATCTACATCATGTAGTTGGTCATGTTCCTCAGCCACAGCTGATGCAGATGAAACATGAACTTCATTTTCGGGCACGGAAATTGAAATCACAACATCTTCAGTTTCTGCTGGATTAGAAAGATTATCTGATTCCGATTGATCACTATCGTCAACAACAATTCCAAACTTAATCAAAGGAAATTTTCCTTCGAATACGAATTTCCAGCACTTTTCTTTTTCATTAAGCCAAATGCACTCGGACCAACAAACTTAAGATCCAGTGTTTCATTTCCTCTTTCGATCTCGGGATGCATGACATTAAAGATGATCTGAAGAAACCTTAGATACATCAAGAACTTTTCCCTCTTGTTTCCTTCAATATGTAGAATCAATTCATGCAGAATAAATTTTGAAAAATTGAACTCAATCCCTGACGCCAAGGGTGCAATAGCTCCTGTGTTGAATAGAGAAATCTCGTTGGGACCTGATCTCCTTCGGGAAATACAGCTCACAAACACATGAGCCAAGTACGTCAAGCAAGGAGGGAGTAATTTCTTGATGGTAGGAGAAAATGATCGTTCATAACCCATATGGTCCAGGACTTCTTGGGTTTGTTCCGGATCAATTTCGATGGAGAATTCAGGTCTATCATTGATGTGCAATGATTCAGGACTTCTTGGGTTTGTTCCGGATCAATTTCGATGGAGAATTCAGGTCCGTCATCTTTACTAACAATTGCGCTTCTCCAAAATTCCTTGATCAAGCTTTGATAAATCACCGGACCAGTCGTGAAAGCAGAAACCAGGAAACATTTACTTAAACCATCAATGATGAATTTGAGATCATTGTGAGCTGCCGGAGGATCTTCTAGAAAAATGGCTGAATTGTGCACCTTTGCAAACTCAAGATCTCCCATGTTGACCTGAAAAACACAAGTATTCATTAGAGCATTTAATAATAAGATATTTTCAATTATTATTTTTAAGGAAATTTATTATTGTTAGGCATACAGCCATACACCAATATCCAGCCACACAGAGTGTGCAGCCGCACACAGTGTATAGCCATACAAGTCATCCAACTATTCATGGCCAGTCACACACGAGGATGTGTGGAGCCGCGCATGTAATCAATCACACAAAGAATGTGTGGAACCGCAAACGTCACCAGCTGCACACACAGTTGCACACAGTTCAACCGCACACAACATGTGCGGCCGCACACACACATAGTCGGAAACGAAAGCCTTTGATTAACCACCATTTCATGATCGATTTTGCATATGAATCATATTATGGGTATCGATTTAGCAGTTCTTAAAGTTACAAAGCTTCAATTTCAGGGAAAAATGTATTTTGAGGGTTTTTTAGAGAGAGAGTAGGATAGAGGCGTGTGCATTGTTCTCAAAGATGGGTAAATAGTGACAACAAATGAACCGCACACCTCCCTTTTATACATTCTTCACTTGGGCTTCCTTTTGCCATTAAAATCACAAGCCCAATACTAAAAAAAAAATTAAAAATAAATCATTTTGAGGATTAAGTGAAATAAAATTTTACCAATCTAAATTTTTTTTAAAAATAAAATAAAATAAAATACAATAAACGGATAATAAAACATTTAGTTCTAAACTAAATGTAATCCTCTAACTTGAAATTGATTAACCTTTTGTGATGTGGGATCAAAGTTGTTAGACAATCGTTTTCAATTTTTCAGTACCTCCCCTTTCATGAATAAATCTGGTCGATCGCCAGTATTGTGGTCCACTTAAGTATGAAAAATTGTGACAAAATTTGGACATGCTATAAGTGACAAGACAAATTGATCCTATGTTCCTAGATAAAACTTCCTAAGGACCATTCATCTGACGACGACCAAGGATATTGTTGTCCACCTAAATTGAGCAGCGAGATCTACGACAATCTAGAATTGTTCTATTTTAATTGTACTAGAACATGTTTCCCGCTTCCTGATATACCCCAATAATCAAGAACTTCCGAGATACTCCATACTTTAGGTGAGCAGACTATTATTCATAGAGATGATAGATTTAGATTATGAATAATTATAGTTTTTAGAGGGATTGAGAAGTAGAAGGTTACATATGTTGTGTACCAGGTCGGATTGTTAATCACACAAAGGAGACAACATATGGCTAATAGATAGGAAGAATTTCATAGATATAAGATGCAGAGAAATAGATTTGCATATGTTGCAGTCCAAGTCAGATCTCTTCCAATCACGTAGAGAAGGCAACATATGAATAACAGTAAGAAAGAAAGAAAATAATTTTCTACATACCTACTTTATCAGAATTCCCCAGTCGCTCCATCAATACTGGAATTAAGGAAATAATATGTACATCGAGGAAAAGTAAAACCACGGTTCTAGATACGGGTTCTTTAGTGTGACTGGTGGATTCTCATGTATATCTCCCTACTCAACCTATCCAAGCGTCGTATTGTCAGGCTAAACGGATCTATCTAGGTTAAGATTTGTCAAGTCATTTGATTTCTTAAGTTCATCTTTGCCTAGTCAAGCTCATTAAGTTTTTCGTGCCTACCAGCGCATCGAACACAGATCCTAGACAATTCAGCTTTGGTACCTTACATAGATCCAGATTGCCTGTTATCCCCTTTTGATATCACTTCCCAACACATCATTACACTGAAATACTTTTGATTTTCTTTTTTTTGTTTTTCTAATGTTTTTTTATTTGTTTTTTTAATTTTCCTGTTTGGATTTTTTAATTTTTTAATTTTTGTTTGATTTTTTTTTGTTTATTTCTCCCCCTAAATTTGTGCATGGAAGAGAATAAAAATAAAATGCGCAAATTTAAACTAAACTAAAGAAAAGTTAATCCTCAAACCAAATCATTTTTAAAAAGTTGACCAACACATCGAATTGAGCTTTGTTAAATGACTTGGTGAATAGATCCGCTACATTATTATCAGAGCGAACCTGTTCTAGCTGAATGAGCGAGTGCTCATAACATTCTCTAATAAAATGAATTTTGATGTCGATGTGCTTGGTTTTTGAGTGCTGGACTAGATTTTTAGCAATTTGGATCGCAACCTCATTATCATAGAATATAGGGGTTTCTTGAAAATTCAAACCGTAATCCAACAGCTGATGTTGGATCCATATAACTTGAGAACAGCAAGCAGACACAGCTACATATTCTGCTTCTGTTGTTGAGGTCGAAACAGTGTGCTGCTTCTTTCACTGCCAAGACACCAGCCTATCTCCAAGAAATTAACATCCACCAGAAGTCGATTTTCTATCAAGCTCGCAACCACTATAATTTCTGTCTGCAAAAGCGTAAAGGTCAAATTTAGAATTTTTTGGATACCAAAGACCCAATTTCGAGCTGCCTTTGATATACCAAAAAATCCTTTTAACAACAGTAAGATGAGAGATTTAGGATTAGCCTGGTAGCGCGCCTTGACAGACCACAAATGTAATGTCTGGGCGACTCGAGGTCAGATACATCAGCGATCCAATCATCGATCGGTAGTACGTTTGATCTACGGATTCGCCTTCAAGATCAGGAGTTAGCAGTGGTCTCTCTGCCATGAGCATCGAAGCAGTTTTAGCATCTCTGAACCCGAACTTCTCGAGCATATCGTCCACATATTTGGCTTGATGAATAAGGGTCCCGGCTGAACATTGTTTGACATGAAACCATAAAAACATGGTCATCTCCCCCAATGAACTCATCTCGAAACGCTTTTTCATGACATCCTCGAATTCTTTGCAAAGTTAAGGACTCGTTGACCCGAAGATGATATTGTCCATGTATATTTGGACAAGAATCTGGTCTGAACCAACATGCTTGATGAATAGGGTCTGATCGATGGTACCACGGGAGTAGCCATGGTCGAGCAAGTGTTGTTCGAGTGTAGCATACCAG